ATGTGGGGATTAAGAATGCGTGACATAAAGGAATAAATAACTTGCATAAGACTGGTCATATCTACATAAATGGTGTACGGCTGCTTATTCAAGGATGTATTGTCACTATATAGGCTGCTCTCTATAAATGGAAGGACATACCCTTTCACAAGGCGAGTCCTAGGTAGCACTTATCAAGCCGATAACCGAGTAGCTTAGTTAGTATCATCAGTAAAATCCTGGAGGCAGCAATCAAGAAAGCCATCGCAGTTCATCCAGAGACCAGCACCCAACTGTCTAGTTTGCAACATGGCATCCACCAAAGTTCCCTTGTCTGTCGAATATTCTTACAGTCAGAGAAATTTGAGTTAAGTCTAAGTATGATGGGTCACCTGTAGACGTCACTTTCATAAACTTTGGCAAGGCGTTTGACAGAGTACCACATTCTAGGCTTCTTGGGAAACTGGAAAGTTTGGGAATCATTGGCAAATAGTTTGCGTAACTCAAGAAGTTGCTAATGGTACGGGACAAGGAGTAAAGAACAATTCTCAACTTTCCTCTAAGAAGCGTATTGAGAGGGCAGAACCTCAAACTGAGGTCCTCGATCCCCTGCCATTTCTCTGGTCCACAACTGAAAACCAAATAGCACACAGTCCCCCATGGTTCTCCCTCTGTCGTAGAGGAAAGTTGACAGCAGTTGCTCCAGGATCTGGCTAAAAATGCTCAGGGGTAGGTGCTTTGCCCAGCGGTTTAGGCGCTGTAGAGAATACTTTTCACACACTGATTACCAGAGTCTTGGATACTGTCTCTAAAATGGATGCAGGATTTGAGGGGAACCAGAATAAGATTGCAAATATAAAGGGTATTTTACGCAAAATTCTGAAGACCCCAAAAAAATTCCCGTCGTCGGCTTGTTTGCTTTGTGAAAAATGTTTTAACAGGTGGCCACCTACAGAAAGCTGAAAATTTATTTGATTTCGTAGAATCTGAGGTAATGAGACGATTGGCATAGTGTCGTGAAGCCACGGTCTACAACGTACCCAACAGCTCACATTTGGAAGCGGCCAAAAGTGAGATCCTGCGAGACCACGACGTCACAAATGTTTGTGAAAAAGACGCAGCCGGCCACCTACCCCACAGCTTTTGATCCCGTTTGACGCCAGGAAGTTAATTAAGCCGCAGAACAGCATCAGATCCAATTACAGTTCCAAAGAGACTACTATTATCCAGAATAGGACACAGCCAACCTAACGAGCACCTTCGAAAGGATTTGGTAGTTCAACCCGCTATGTCAGAGGCAATTAAATCCGTAGAAGCGTCACCTGACAACAAAAAGCTTGCCTTAATCGTTGGGTACCACCTGGTAAAGTCTACTGTAGACCGTGTTATGAGTCTTTCGATCAAATGCAGAGTCAGACAATCCCTTTTCCAAGGTAAGCTTCTGTATTCCAACTATAGTTAACAACTTATCTAAGATAAACTTGACGTCAAAAAACACTGCCGCACAACCCTGGGATTTGAGCTAAAGAAGGGTCACAAACAGAGAAACTTCAGGCGCATTTCGTCAAATAATGGCGACCTACACTCCGTCGCCAGGAGGGAAGTGACAAATAAGCACCTCCAGTACACCAGAACCTCTGCCTCAAGTTAACACGTGGTGTGTAACCCATGGTATCTAAGACTAGCTAACACGAGACTAAACAGACTGACACCCATCGACGATAAACTTCAGCATGCCACATCAGTAGAAACTAAAGACTTGTTGACTAACGAGCCCTCTCACCCAATAGGCTTAGACGCTGTAGATTTACCCATCATCCTATCAATATAGACCACTGGGAAGTTTCAGCCCGCTGTAAAACAAAATACGCATCATCTTAGGGACAGGATGTCGAAATAAACGTATATGGTACCGTAGGTGAGATAACCCTCCACAGAAACCTAGCTACTTTGTCGCCCACCGACAAGAACTCCACATCTTGGAAAAATATCTGCCCCCAAGACAACAGTCTCACAGCTAGACCAATAATATGACTGACAACCGAATCACGGTGTCCGTCTAGCATCTTGGAAGAAGACTTAAACATAGAAGGGCACAACCTTCGTCGCAATAATCGTGATCATAAACTTGGCAGTGGAATCAATTTGCGACAAACTAAGTTAAAAACAACGTATTAAATGTAGTGTTTGATTCACCCTGGGTCACCTTACATGATGACAAGTACGAAGTGCTTCTAGGTTGTGTCGCACACCATGCTCAAGCGTGAAAACGGATACGTTGCGAGCAACATAGTTTTCTCCCACTTCCCCAGACGGATGTGAAGGTTTTGTTGATTTCTGGAGACTTCAATCTTCCTGAAGCTAACCGGATAGTTGGCTGTGGTCCATTGCGCTTCAGTGTGATGCTTGCGGTGATAGACGTCGATGGATGGAAGCAATACATTAAGCACCTTCGTGGGGTAACAAAATATTGGACTCGGTACTTCACCATTAAATCACTCTAGCATCTGATTGTGTCAGCAGTGAAGGACCAAGAATGTCAGCAACTCCATCAAACGCCACCACAGCAACACTGTTTTCGTACTGGACACGCCTGTTGGACAGAACTCCTTATCACGAGAGAGGAAGGGGTTGCAGCCCTTGAATGCAGGTTCCCAGTACCTGCCGCGTTGATAGACTTCAGTAAGACATTGGATAAAGCGTCACATGTGAAACTACTAGGAAAACTCTCCACTCTCAGGTTTCATGCTTCATTGCAAGCTTGGCATAGGGACTTTCTGTACAATGGAAAGAAAAGGGTGAGGGTTATTGGGAGACTTCCCGGATGGAGATCTGTGATGAGTGAAGTTCCTCAAGGTCCACCACCCGTCTTGTTATATGTGAACGAATTAGTACGATCGCTCAACTCTTCGGTGTTGCTATTCGCCGATGATGTAAAGGCTTGGAGAGCCAGACATGGGGATGCTGATGGGCATGCACTTCAAGCGGATTTGAATGGACTGGTAGGTTGGTCGAAATGTTGGTGCCTAGAAATCAACTCTAATAAAAGTGAGATAATGCACGCAGGTCACGGAAATTGTTTCCAGTATTCCGTTGATGGTACACCACTACTTCCAGTCTCTGAACCGGAAGACGAAGTTGTCATCATTAGTTATGATTTGGAAACGGCTTCCGCACAGTACAAGCATCCACAGAGCTTTCAAAAGTTTGATCAGGGTATTTTCGGAATACTCTATTCTACTTACGTTAGACGTCACTTGGAATATTGTATTCAGGCGGCAAGCCCATGCCTTTAGAAGAGAGCTGACCTACTCGAAAGTGTCCAGAGTGTATGTACTAAGCTAGTAGAATATCTTTTGAATCTGTCCTACGAAGAACGATCAGATCAGCCAACCTTGCTACCAAATACCACAAAATCCCATATGGTTCTTTAAGCTGATGATGTAAAAATCTGGCAGTTAATTAGGAACGATGAGGATATACTTGTGCTCTAGGCAGACCTGAACAGCTTATTTGCCTGGTCAGAGAAGTGGCTGATGCCTATCAATGCAGGTAAATGTGTGAGCATACACTTGGGGCACGAACACAGCAACACATACGAGGATGGTGGGACTCCGCTACCGTCAGCAGTGACCCACAATGACCTAGGAGTCACAGTGAGTTGTGACTTGAAAACGACAGCACACTGCCGCTTGGTGGCAGCTCAGAATTTCAGGACTCCCTGGGCACCATGTGGAACGTTTATGGAAATAAGTGGTGACATGTTCACCATCGTGTACACATCCTTAGTTAGATCTAAATTAGAAAACTGTACATAGGCGGCTAACCCTTGTCCGAAAGGCGACGCAGACCTTCTAGAAAGGGTTCAAAGGGCGGCAACTCGTATGATCCCTGGTATGACTGGCTCAACCTATGAAGATCGACTTAAGGAGCTGAACCTCTTCACTTTGTCCTATCGCAGACAGAGAGGAGACCTAATCATGCTACATAGGATTCTAAGAAATGACTTCAGACCTGACCTATCTTCTCTGTTCCCTCCCACATGGTCGGAACAACTCAGAGGATGTAGTAGGAGGCTACAAAAGCAAAGGACAAACATAGTCCCTACAGAGTACTGGTTCTCGTGTAGAGTAACCAACGCCTGGACCCGACAACCAGAAAAAGTGGTGTCCACATCATCCGTTGACTCTTTCAAAAGGGGACTTAACAAGCACAGAAATCTACTGGAAAGGGATTAATGTAGGCTTCCAGCCTCTCACCCTCAAACAACAAATGTGAATCTGGAATCTTATTCCCACTCTCCAACCATGGAAAATGGGGTGATCTCATACTGGGATTTCGTATCATGAATAATCACTTCTGTACTGATCTCCCCTGTCTTTCTGGCCTTTTAGGATTGACTATTTCCAAGGACACCACAAGCAGATCCAAAAACCACGACAGACTCAACTTAGCGTTAATCCACGTTTCTCCCCATGGTGTAGTCAACGTCTGGTACTCTTTACCTCAGGAAGTAGTATCATCCCCTTCTGTCAGCGCGTTCAAGGAGGAAAAAAGCCTTCAAAGAGATATCTTCTGTAAGGATTAACACAGGCCCACTGTCTTCTATCCTTATAGGTGAAAACTGGACCCCGGCAGTGCTGCCTACTTTTCAAACTAGGCGCGATCTCAGCATTTAGCTGAAGTATTATCATCTAATGAAGCAAGCCTGATGCTTTCTGTGAGTCTTGGAGCATGGGGAGGGAAAGCTGAATGTTTTCTGACAAGTAATAGTTAAATAAGTGTACGTTTTCTTGTTACAACCAACGACATCTAAACCGCGGTTGAATTGGACTGTCGCATATTTTTTTAAACTGTTCCCTACTTTTGGCTTGTTTTTGTTTACTTTAAAAAGTATAAATGTCTCATTCCCCGGAGATAAAGTCTTCGCTAAGATAAAAGGATTTTCAAACTGGCCTGCAAGGGTAATTGAACCATAGTCTCATATGCGAAATATTAACAGATCAATCCACTTCCTCCCGATGTCCAGATACCCAAAGGAAAGCTTCCCATATTTTTCTATGGTACTTACCAAGTGTAAGTCAAGTAAATAATTCATCGTAGCAGATCTTTTGTTCCGGTTAAAAATATAGTTCCTTACGAGAAATTCAAGGATAAATGGGGGAAACCAAAGGCAAACCCACAATTCATGGCAGCTTTGGAAGAAATTGAAGCAAACCCGGGCATTTATATGCTGGGAGAGGTGAGTTCATCTATGCTTATCTGTTATTCTCGTAGGATCCTAGGGCTGAAAAATTCTTGCACCAATTTTATGATTTTAAATCAAGTAAGTGTTTTGTTTATCCTTGGGTTTTTTCTAGGCATTTACTATTAGTTTTTATATGCAATGTTAACAACCGTTTTGTACTTAAGCCTTTTGCCTGGCTTTAATGGATGTTCTAATTACAAATATATTTGAGTTTGGTTTTCTAGATCGTCCCGACTACTTGGTAGATATCATGTTATTTTCACTCATCCCCGTAGTTTAAAGTATCTGATTTTATGGACTTCGTCGAAGTAGCTCACCCAGACCCACAAGACCATTTTAACTATTGGAGGCTAGATATCACTCCATATATACCTTGCAAATGCTACCAGACTGTGTATCTTCTCGTGAATTTCTACAACTGAATCAAATAATTGATAACAAGATAATGATGATCAACTTCGTCTGCTACCTTGTATCACTTTATTCCTGTACTAAACGTTCATATTTGACAGTTTGACTTACCTTAATCGCCACTGACAGCTTGAATTTTAAATATTTGTAAGTGATCTTTGAGACGCAGTGAAATAACTAAGAATTCACACAAAATAACCTCCACTTTCGCACTAAATACACTACTTCATCGTAGGTAAAAATGACTTCCATAACGTGGCCGGACTTCGTGTATATGACTACTTCCTGTCCATGAGCTACTCATCTAACTCTACAAGTGATTAAATCATGACATTTTCCCGTTTTTTTTCCACAAAGGAATAAATTACAAGCGCAGTAGAGTTTTAGTTCCAGGGAAATATCATTTTCTTTGTATTAGTAATAAATAACTTACCCAATGACGGTTTTGTGAGTCATTCTTAATTAAATCTATGCTTTCCAGGTTCCCAAATCGACAATGGTGGCAGTATCCATAAGAACAGTGGTTCTCATCAACGGAGGTCAACCAGAAGCAAGTCTCTGGAATCACACGGTGGTTCTTCTGATACTGCTTGCTCCACAGAATCTGAGAACCAGAAAATTGAAATTCCTTCAGGGTATAGGTCAGCGAAACTAGGTAAGTTAAATTTTGAAAACACCATGACATTGTCCCATTTATTTATATGCTGTGCTTAAAATATGATGCAGCAAGTAAATACAGAATTAATGTTTCCATAAAGAAGTAAGGTATGCGTGTTGTTTTATGAATGTAGATATTATTTCATAAGGAAGTACATGTTAGTGCACTTGACGATATGCCACACCTATCATGTGAATGCTGATGTCACTGTCTTCTAATCCATAGTCCACTGGTTGAAAATTAGATACTTAGGCTAATGAACCACTGCTCTTAAGGGAGTACTACCAAAAAACCTACAATGACAATGAGTTTTCAGTTCAAACTGTTATTAAGATTCATGATATCCATTGGTGAAATTCTGTAGCCAGACTTTTACTAGTACCATTCTTCGGTGAAACACTAACTTCATTAAGCCTGGTTATGAAAGGTTCACAACAAAATACCAGAGCTCAGAGAACGCCAAACCAACATCATCCTCATCCTGAGCTACAAATCTTTTCCATCATTTCTATGCCACCTGTCTTCTACCATCGATTTGATTATCTTGCAGGCTCATTCCTTGAAGCCTACAATTATCTGGATGGTTGAAAACAACAGCTTTAAACTTTATGGATGTTGTCTTTAATGTTATAGCTTGTTCATCTCCCTTGATGTTGTTAGTGTAATATTTTCATAGCTACATTAACTAGGAAAGAAATCATGAGGAAGTTAATGTACTCAAAAATGGCAGTGACAGAAAGTATATTTTTACCGAACTACACCAATGAGTCTTCAAACGACCATTGGATTACGGCAAACAATAAGCGTAGAACCTCTCACACATGTTCGTCACCTCAAGTCACACTTCATACTACTAAACAAAGAACAGGTGGATAGAAATGACTGACATCAAAGTAGACAAAGTTGTTTGAGAGTATAAAAAATCCGAAGATAACGGTAAGTTCGAATATCCAAGCTTTAGATATCAAGAAGTGAATACATCTGCGTCATTGTGACCGATTTTCAGCCGTCACCAAGAGTTCACAATCACTGATTTCTTTCGTCTCGGGGAACCCGACCAGGTAACCTGCTCCCCACACTTCTCAAACCAACGACCAGGGACTTCATGGGCTGATGCCAGATATTGATCTGACCACCCTGAACCCTCTTCACGTCTAATCCAACTTCCCCTCTCATGACACAGGTAGGCGGTGACTCAGCATGTCCAAGCCACCTCACTCGATGAAGGTGCATAACCTCATCAATTGACTTCCCTAGTACCTTTCGCCCTGCCTCAGGATTGCTCACATGGTAAATTCCACCAAACGCAAGGAGTGCTACGAAGACACTTTTGATCAAAACCCTGTAGCCCTTTTCTGTCTTCTAATTTTAACAGCCATATCTCACAACCGCATAACAAGATAGAACAAACAGCAACACAGTTTATTCTTCCTTTGATTGATAGTTAGATACCTCGCTTGATGTGTTGATGGATTGTAGCAACTAAGATTGACAGAAAGCTATTTTAGGTCGTAGGTTATTCATGTCTGTCTATTCTGTTGAACTCAGAGCATTCAGAAGGCTATGCATCTTGTCTTCACTTAACAGGAATACTTCGTTTGTGTTCTCTAAATGGACTAGTGACCATTCACACAGGAGGTCAATACAAGAAAGGTCGAAGATAGGGAAAGTCACCTTCATGAATTTTGTGATGAGATTCGAGAGAAATAAAGTGCAAACAGCGATTTAGGTTGTCTTACTAACTGTCCCTAATCAACTGTCGGATACTTCATGAACCGATATCGTGTATTGATCCGGTTATACCTAACCATCTCCAACCTAACCTTAATTCATACTGTTTTTGCCTGGTGTTAGTTTAATTTTAAAGAGTGGATTGCCTATCTCCTTCCAACCCACTGATTTTCAAGGTTCGTCATTCTGTTCCATCTTTTCGTGTTTTTGCATACATGGGTATTTTTGTGTAATGAATCAACATCACGCATATGCAACAGAAATGATTCAGCACCCCTTCATCATAAGGAGGAGAGAACTTGAATTATAATCCGAATCATGTTTCAGAAATGTGGAGTCTCCATGATATGGCTATAAATAAGTGTCCAAAACGTTACACAGTAAGAGCTACTGTGAAATGCATCTGACAAATACTAGAATAGAATTTATAAAAAGCTCTACTACAGCTGACAGGTGGTTAAGATTAACTATGGCTGGGAGCGCATGATCAATGAACGCTTAGAAAGTAATCAACTGACCTACCTCTTTCATGTACGATTTTATGCCTATCCACTATGCTGCTGTCATGAGGCTTCTATCATATGAGCTCAGTGCTGTAAAGGATATCTGCAGCCTTCTCGTCTCCTCCACGTTTAATAATCATGGTTCACAACTATATATTGGGACAGAGTGTACTGTTGCACAGTACACCCAACCCTTAGTGGCACAAATTAGTGAGAATGAATAGAGGTTTTTGTATTTTCAATAAGATTTCTTCGACAAACAACCCACCACAGGTAACTTGGCTTCTCAGTAACCTCTGCATGGCTGTGCAAGTGACTGTGGTATACTTTCTCTGTACCTCATTCAAATACTGCTACGATGTTGGATTTCAATTTCAGGTCAAAGTCTGTCAAGCACCGGTTCACCGCAAGTATTCCACTATCCCAAGGCTTGATATGGTTAGTTCACACTAGCAACTAGACCTGAAAACATCCCGATTCTCTCGGGTTTGCTGTTTTTTAGCTCCATATAGGTCTTACACACTGTTGGTTTAAAAAAAGGGATTATATGACTAAGTGCATTCAACTCGTTTCAATAAAATGATTATTAGGCGAATTTAACGACTTTAGCCTTTACTACGAACAACGTAGTGCCCGGTGCAACATTCTTTGGTTCATGTCAAAAATAAATGCAACTCAGCAGCCATATTTCCTCTCGTGAAATGGGTTGTGTCACACCTATTACACAACAATAGAGAATAACCTTTGTTAATCTGCCTTAACTGTTACTCCGTCAAGATAGGCTGCAGTCAAACGAATGAAACACCTCAGTGTAGATGCTTAATACTGCCAACGGGTTTACCACTAAGATATCCTACATCTGACCATTCATCTATCTGAAAGTTCCACAGCACTCAATGCGTCATATCTTACCTTCATCTCAGTCATGATTTCACATAACTTTGTTAGCTTTACTGCTTTTCCCTGTTGTCGTCACCTTACTTTTATTTCTTTGTCTTTCCTTTTGTCACCCATCTTGGTTTGCTATCCTGAAATGTGGTAGCTTGAGTCGTTGCACCGACAGTTCCATAATATGTAGTCAGTGCTTAGAAGGCATTGGTAGTATTAAAATACTTCTCATTCCACTGTCATTTGCCTTCAACAACCACGTTTTACAACTGTTTTACAGAATAGAGTTGTGCGAAATACATTCATTTCTAAATAATCGAGTGGGTATTTCATTGACACCACAACTGGCGTAAGTTTACGAATGTCGACCGATTAATTCTTATCCATACTGATACTTTCCTAGTGATCAACTATCACTACCGAGCACTATTGGTCAATGTACTCAACCACTGTACTCCTTTTTATCAGTCAGTGTGGGCACTAATAAATACCACAGCATTATTTTGCATGTTAGATGGTATGGACGTAGCAACTACTCTCTCAGTAAGTGTGTATGATAGCGTCCATTAGGATTGAGATAGATATGAGGACCCGAAACAAAGCACCTTGTTCACTCCATAAGTTCTGGTACTGCCATTCATGTCCAAGTAGAATACCTTTAGCACTGTGGTATACTTTTTTTGTTAACAATATCTAGTGCCATATTTAGAAAAGAAATACTGATAACATGGAGTGATTGTAGGTATACTTGTCTTCCTGTACGTGTTGTAAAGTTAAAATCTGAATCAAATGCCTCGTATGAAATGTAAAATACGCTTAGTTTTCTTTATTTTATTATTCTAATAAAACAATTGTTTAGTGATTATCAGTCATACGAGTTTAATAGCTGAGTTATTCAGGTTTTTATTTCTTTCTTAAAAATTGAAAGTCAATGATCCAAATCTACCTCAAAAAATATTTGTGGTGGATTAGCATCTTTAGATGTGATGATTGGGAGAAAATCTTCAAGATTTGCTTTCTTTTTTATCTTGCTTTGAGTTCCTTAAACCCTCGCGTTGAATCGACGATACAGTAGCATTGCTAACGTAGTGTCCTGATAGTTAGCCGTAACAGATTACCTTAGTCTAGGCGAGGTCCCTTCACAAATTCTTAACTACTAGTAATCGCGATCTAACATTTATACGTCAGTAGATTAGGTATTTAACTTTTAGCTTGGGGATCACAAGTTATACCTTTATTTTATTAGGGGACCACAAACCAGATTTGGCCCATACGTTAGTGCACTAACGTGTACATGAATTGTATAAATAGTTAACTTTTTTAACTGAAGTAATCCATCTATTCGGTACAGGGCTATGTAAACTCAGTGTATGAGGGCTTACTGGATTAACTAGCTAGCTGTCAAGGCCAAAGTAAGTGAATTGGAATTTGAAAGTCGAGTGCTAAAGTCAATGAGGCCTCAATTGCATTGTTCCATCACGAGGTTCACTACCATTAAAATCATTCAGAATGTTGATTTAGACTCTTTACTCCTGTATCTAATAGGCATTTCAAAAAATGCAGTCACACTTATGTTTCTTACACTGTTCAAACTCTCTTTAAACATGATCCGCACCTTCATTTCTATAAATTTCAAATACTGTTTGACGTTATATTGACTCTACAGGATATAAGTGAGCTGCAGACATATAACTGTAGTTGCCTTCACTGATCATATCTATTGGGTCGTCAGGTCAAATGCAAGTTATAAGCATATATAATAGGGGGAAATCATTTAGCTAAAGTGTTGAGATTGCATTCTACACGTTATGAAGTAGAGACAGAGACAGGGTTACAATGGGTCGTTGTTGTTTATTATTAAAACACAAACTTGGTTATAGCAAGGGGACCAAAAAATGAGTTACTTAAAAAAACATAAAAATGTTGACGAAATAAAGCAAAGGGAAGTAGAAAAAAGGAAACACTAAGAATAGAATGATTAGAAGGGCAGCGGAATAAGATACGCTCAAAACGAAAACATTCATTTATTCGTCATTCGGCATAAGAAGATAGAAGGAAGCTACAGCATGACCACCACTGATTTCCATCCTCAGCCGTGTCTGATAACGTCTCAACCAACTGAGTTGCACGATATCTCGGAGCCCAACCCAAGGCGTCGCGACTCTCCAACACATGCTAGCCCGATACAACTATCCTTCATCTCACAACGCCATGTCATACTGAGCGTCCCTCTGCTTCCTCCATCCAGTTCATGGTGCTAGCAAACAATGAGTGGTATGGAAGCTGTTGGGACGGTCTGCATAACATGTCCAAGCCAGAGAAGTCGGTGTTTCCACATGACTTCACTTACTGGATAACGGTCTCCATCTTGCATAAACACCCGCTGTCTTAGCGCAGAATTACTCACTTACATGGTGTTGCCACCGTATACGAGCAGTCCTACGGAGACAACGATGATCGAACACACAGAGTCATAGCACATCCTCACCTCGGAGAGATCACGTTTCACAGGTGTTGAACAAAACTGCTCGGGCAAAACGTTGTAAAATTGACCTTTTGCGGTTAGACTAACATCGCGGTGGTGCCGAAGGTGGCCCAGATTGGCGTATGTCACTCTCGGTTGTTCACTCACATCACCAGCATTCACACAACTATCCAGATAGGCGAACGTTTCTACTAATTCCAACGACTCACCACCAAGGGTGAGGGCAAGCACAGGCTCCTACCAGTGTTGCAAAAGTACTTCTGACTTCAATGGTGCAAAGCGCGCACCATACGGATAGTATGGCTCAAATCAGTAAATGAAAACATCTGTGGGATAAAATTCATCCGATAGCTTACTCACGCCATTCCTTGGTGCTTCGAAGTATTGAAAAGGGTTTACATAATTTGGCTTATGGTTTATGATTTAACTTAGGTGGTACTTCGGGTCACATTGTACAATGATCATTCGTAGTGGTGAGACTAAACTTGATTTCAAATTGTGGATAGAGACTCGTTACTATGCATGTATTAGTTGTAATTTGTTTAAAATATACACACTTTATCCTATCAGCGTATATCTATGGTAAGTATGAAAATATATACACTTGCATAAGATTTTTCGTGTATTCTGTCTTAGCCATTTTCTAGTGTTTGGCTATAAGCCGTGGTGATTAAATGTAGAGGACATGAGAAGGCTTCTGATGTTTGACTACCGTTGCCTTCCTAGCACAGGCTATGCGTCGTGGTGCCACCACGTGAGTAACGCAGAAGTCAGGTGTACAGTTTTAGGGAGGAGAGTCTTCATCGATCGAGGTAGCTGGGACATGTTACACATGTGTAGTCATCGTCTGCCTCTTCGCACAATGTTGGCTGAAGTAGGTCCAAGCCGAAATAAAGCTCGGGGTGGCCAGACTAAAATACGGCATCACTGCATGAAGTTATTAGCTGTTAGTTTGGCCCATGTAGGGTGATGCACACTAGCTGGTTGGGGTCCATACGACAACAGAAAGCACTGATGGAGACTCTAGGTGATATGGCTGAGAACCGATGTCAGTGTCACAGATGTATCCACACACACATTATCCTCATCTTAACTGCTATACTTAATCTCATCATTTTCTCAATCCTCCTTCCTCTCTTTTACTACTTTCTACTTCTACTTCCTTTGACCGATTTTTCTTTCTTTCTTCATCTATTTTATTTTGTTACTTGATGTACTGATATGAGGTGTAACAACTTGAACCATTACACAGTAATGCCTGATCCTATGTTGATCTTGATGATGATAATGAATCATTTTCTATTTCATATCATCTCGTGTGGAATGGAGCTCTTGCATTTATGAAAAGATAATGATAATAACTGACATTTTAGCACAATACTGAAAACACCTATGAGCTGGTAATATCGTAATCTTCATGGAATGTAATTCCAAAACGTTCATCCTCACTTATTCGGACTGCTGAGTCACATTTTTACTTATCTCCTAACGTACGAACAAAGTATTCTCATACTTTCTTGTTGTTATTAATAGTCATGTGGTTGTTAGTTATTATTCAGGAGTTTGCCGGAAAAAAGTTCAGCGTTTCCCTTGATTTTTTTTTAATTTCTCTGTTTTCTTTTCTTTTTAGGCAGTGGAAGCAGTCGCAAATACAAACGTCATTGTCCCAGGTAATTCCTTGCAAAGCTTTTCCATGTAAAATTTTTAGGCTTATTAAAGGCACTAGTAAACCAACAAATACCATCAGCCATGTAATATTCACTGATTATGATGGTTGTGATACTTTACTGCCGAAACCTTAGTAGATAGAATGGGCGTGAACTTGTGACCATTTCAATTCCAGGTCGATTAGATTACGCAATTGGCCACAGCCTCTGGATGGTAATACCATTACTCCTCACATCTGTTCAGTGGGACACACTCACGGATAGCTACATATACACACCTACTCAGTATACGGTCATTTTCCGGTTTCATAGGGAACATATTGCTACTCAAATTGAGACAAAACAACTAATGTTCATTGCTTTTTAGTTTTTAACAGCTAACCAGACCAAACTATTAAAATGTGACATCAGTCAGTTGATGGAAGTTTCAAACTGTTGATTTAAACCGTCCAAGTAGACTCTCAAGTTTGGATATTAGTGATGGATAGTGGCTAACAGGGGAATCCACGACACACGTTTCGTCTTATTTCTAACTTGTTTGTCAGTTGAACCTACCTGCTTCCTAGTGAGTGGTGTTACTGTCACCAGGACTCTAACCCGAAACCAGTCATTTGAAACGCCAGAGCGGTAACCACTCTTTGTACCATTAATATAGGTGTAAAACTTGGGTACTGTGGTAGAATTTAATTCCACACTAGATTTGTTTATTCGATTTATGACACTATGATACAGTATTGTTATTTTCTTGATGACGTTGAGAGCATAAATTATCATTTCTCATAATCATATCAATACGAAATCACACCACTCCCACCACCTTTTTATAGTCCTTTCACCTCTTATTCTTTGTTTCTGTTGGTAGTGACATTTTCCATATCTCTGGTATGCATGGGTGTTGCGTCATTTCTATCACATGTGTTGAGTGGGTGTTGGTTCGATAAACAAAGATTCAGTACTCTATCTCCATCTGATTATATTGGACTTAAGACAGTGGTTTTATCCCACCCATTCTATTGTGTGTTAGTGGACGCATTGCAGTGGCTAAGCCTCTTTCTAGATTATCGATCTTATTGAGGTCTGTTATTCTATATTTAGCTAAATTTCTATGTTCCCCTATTCTAAATGACGTTGACCGGCTAGTTTGACCTATGTACTTGACCCTGACTCAGTCATTACATGGAATTCGATAGATAAGATTGTTTTGCTTAATTAGTTCTATGGGATCATTAAGCCAGCCGACAAAACTTAACTTTGACTAAGTTTGTAGATTTGAATGCCATCAGAACTGATTCTGGCTTTGTTGAGGATCCTACGTAACGTTTCTATGTTCCTTCCTTATAGGGTAACACAATGAAGGCTGTGAACTCCTTTCTACTTGTCTTACTCTTGTTATTTCATTTCTTGTGTGTTTGTACGAATTTCTTAATAAACTTCAGAGGATAATTACAAACTATTAGCACTTCTTTTATATACTTCTGTTCCTTGTTCAGGCTCTTACACTAACTAGTCAGCTTTGTAGCTCTATCATCTAGACGTTTGACTAAATTTGCCCTAACTGACTGACATCGGATGAGATGATTTGAAGTCTAGATTCGATAACTGTTGGAATGTGTGGGTTTTCTGTAGACGGTAGTATCCAAACCACCGTCTGTCCTTCGTTTTATCCTGTAGTGAGTGCGGCGTGATTAATTCTCCTTGTTCATTTTCTACCTACTCGTAATTGAATTTGATTGCGCTTACCAGTGAGTTGATGTTATATGTGAGGAAATTGTCGAATTGTTCCGATTTCAACACAGTAGTAAATGTGTTAACCACATATCGCCATTATATCTTAGGTGCAGGTTCCCAACTGTTCATAAATATATCTACTACGATTGGGTATATGGGCAATCCCATTGCTACTCTTTCTGTTTTTCTGTATATTTTGTCGTGGAACTTGAGGGTTGTGTAAGTCAGGGACAACTGTACGCCTAATATGATCTCACCAGCCGATACCATAGTTCTGTAAGTTCTGAGTCAGTATTTAGTTGACCTCTGACTGCCTCCAGTGCCTTGTTGATTGATATTTTAGTATAAAGACTTGTTACATCAAAACTAACCATTTTTTCATCTTGTCCCACATTTTTTCCTTACTGACGATTTTCAACAACTTTTTTCTTGTTTCTCTTTCTCTCATCTTGTTGTTGTTGTTGATGTACTGCTCTGACTTATGGCAACTCAGACTGTCACTCAGTGATAATATAGGTCCCATTTTGTTATGAGGTAACTGACCGACTGATAATTAACACTGTATCATGACAAAGATTGTCACCAATAATATCACCTGTAGCTTCTTGAATCCTTGGGCATTCCACTCATTGGAATGCTATCTTGTGATGTCCCGGATGCAAAATGATATGATAGTTGTTTTGCTTTATTCCAAAATAATGTCGGACACCATATTGCGATCCATTCTCCATGCCATGTTGGTCTGCCCCGATTAATACCTTGGTACTGAAGTTACATAGCTGTTTCTTTCCGAACGTGTTGAGCAGAAATATGAGTATTTTTGGCATACGTTTCGCTGCCACCTGTCAAATGTAGGGTGATGATTCAGGACTGGTGTGCTACGACTCCCAACTGAATGAAACGTAGCAAAGTGATGGGATGTGCCGACTACTTCACTTTACGGCTTTGTTCCTGACGAAATTTCAGCTCGGATACAGAAGGCCCGTTCGGTATTCGCCAACTTGCATAACCTGCTGCACCGACTGTCGAGATATCCAACTGTCTGTCAAAGGATGAGTATATTGCCCTACTACAGTCCTTTCCGTTTTGCTACACGAACGTGAGACATGACCATTAAGAGTAGAAGACATAAAGCAGTTGTAGGGTTTTAATCAAAGGTGTTTTCGTAGCACTGCTCGAGTTTTGGTGCAATCACCGAGTGAGCAATGTTGAGATCAGGCGAAAGGTACTAGGCGAGACATACCGGCAGGTCGATTGATAAGGTTGTGAACCATCGTCAGCTGACTCGGCTTATTTATGTACTACGTATGCCGAGCTACCATCGCCTACCTTGACACACCATGTTAGAGGAAGTTGGATTAGGATGGGAAAGGGTTCAAGGTGGCCAGACCAAGACCTGGCACGAGTCGATGAAGTCCCTGACTGCTGGCTTGTACCATGCGGGTAAATGTAGACTGCTTGGCTGGCTAGGGTCCCTGAGGCGAAAGATATCAGTGTATGAGGACGCTTGATGACATGGTTAAACACTAGTCGGTCACAATGGCGTGGATGTATTCACTCTGTTTGAGATCTTCTAAAGCTTGAATACTTACAGTGACTGTTGTCTTAAGATTGTTTTTTCTCTCACACTACTTTACCTACTTTGATATCAGTCCTTTTCTATCCAGCTGTTCTTTGTTTACCACTGTGAAGTGTGGCAACTTGAGGCAGTGAACTTGTGTGCAAGGTTTTGCTTTGATTTCGTCAATCAGTCAGTCCACACAACTCAGACCAACAGTCAGGGACTTCATCGACTGATGTTACATCTTGGTCTGGTCACCTTGACCCTGTCCCAACTTAATCCATCTGCCCCAAGCATGGCACGTCGAGATAGACGATGGCTCGACACGCGCAGTACATGTCTAAGTCACCTCAGTCGATGAAGGTGCACATCCTCTTCAATCGACTTGCCGGTCTGTCTTATCCAGTACCCTACGCCTGACCTCAGCAGTTCTCATACAGGGGTTCCGCCAATCGCAAGTGTGGTAGTGTCTGAGCATGTAAAATGAAATGGGTAAAGAAACTAGGCTATTTTTCCTATTCCTACACAATATATGTATGTACGGTGTACCAACGCGTACAGAGCTTTGTGTTACACTGGCGAGAAAATCAAAATCGACGTCTAAATATCACTCAGTATCAGATATAGTTGTGTAGATGTGAATCTTGAAAATATCTTATATTTGTTTACTTGTGTCTGTGATTGTTTCCCCTCTGCTTTTTGCCGTAACTCTGATAATATTGGTATCATTGTCCTACTTCCAATTGTGTGTCAACTTAGATCAGATACCCCCTGACTTATTTGATAGTGATCCCTCCATCACTCAATAATTTGTTTGTCGAATCTGTATTGTTCTACAAGCGCTGTTTACAAAAGACTTCTATTGATTGCTTCTGTTAGTAATAATATGAAGCTATGGAATTTTTTTCAAGGCAACTTTATTCAATTGTTTCTGTCCCACATTGTTTTTGAGTCAGACTTGAATAAACCTCCTAATGTTGATTGAATTCGGGTTATGCTACCAAGATCTACATAGTTGTTTTGTTTGTAACTTGCAGTTGTAGACTACAGATACTAAAGTTGTTAGTCACAGTAGCGTGAACTAGACAACGTTGAAATGGGAAGTCGGGGTGTGCGGGAGGTATCGTTGTCATACTTAACAGCCGTTAGGAGCTACAGCTGACATTAATCGTTGGCGTAAAACCGAGAAACTTTGTCAAAGTATAAACTGATCAAAGTAGAACCTTACAGACAAGTGCATCACCTGAAGTTGCCACACTTCACACTAGTAAACAAAGAACGGGTGGACAGAAATAACTGATATCGAAGAAGATAAAGTAGTGTGAGAGAATAAACATGTTTAAGCTATCTCAGTTGGATAACGTTCACAACCTCACCAATCGACTTGCTAGTGTGTCTTGCCTAGTACTGTAGTAGGTGTTGCTGATAAGAATAGATATAAGTAGTATGTGTTAAGAGGGTGGCAGAAATCATAGGGAATTACCAGCAATGGGTAAGGATTCTACCAAGAAAAACGCAAGAGACAACGCGGGCGTATGAAGAGCAAATCAAGAGAGAAGCAGTAGAGTAAATAAAGCACATTTTGCAAATGACTACCTTAATGGAAGGTGTACAATATTTAACGACTACTGTACCACTTGTTAACAATAAGCATTCCTTCCTTCGTCTCTGTCTTCTCGTTACCTTTGAATTGGTGTCGCTGTTTCTGGACGTG